CATCGTCCCTCGTTAAATCCCCACGCTTCATAGAACCAATTCTTGTATATATCTTGCGCCTGAGTCCAATTAAGCGCTTGAGCCCAGGTCTGGTTTTTTTCGGTCATGACCCAGCATCCTTGGAAAAGCTCCTTCTTCGTAATTAAACCCGCAGTCGTCGAATTTCGAATGACTCTAAGTTTAGAAAGATCTTCCTTGTAAAAATATACATCTTCAATAACCTTAAATTCTTCAACACTCTTTAGCCGGTGGAGTATTATGGATTCATCGGGAAAGCGGGGGTCAGCATTCTTGGCGTCAATACCAACGTCGTGGAAAGGATTTTCGCGAAAATTCCGAAACAAATTTTTTGGCCAGCCGCGGTGGGTGAAACCCACATAATGTACCAAATACTTAATTTCTTTTGCCACTTCGCATATCCAGCGGCCTACCACGTTGTCCTCATTACCCCTTGTATGTGAACGAACCCATCCTGATTTGACAACATCCATGACAAGATCACGAGAGATCGTATAACCCATACCTGTAAAAAGGCGACCATAGGCATTAGGGCACTAAATAAGTTTTACCAATAAATAGAAAACCTACCCCACATGGACATGTCCGGGTTATTACGATTTCTGCGCGCGGTGAAATTTAGCGCTAGGCCATAATATGCGTGTTCCTTGGTACGTCTTGTAGGTCGCGGTAGTGATGAATAAGGTGAACGAAGCTGTCATCGTCCATTTTCATCATGTAATCGTCCTTCCGCTGAACATATAAATCAAGAATATCAGAGCACATGCGTACACCTATCCAAATAAGGCGTACATACCGTAAATACTTACATTTTTGGCAAACCAATCAAAGAACTCTAGAGTCTTTCCATTATTCATATTCTCTGTGATATTCAACATAACTATATCCCCATACATTTTGGACTCTTTCTTTAACCTTTTTACGTATTCACCCCGCGGTAGTCCTGTCACAAATCTAATTGTAACAGGAGATTCTCTAACACCAAGATACCGTGCCAGGGCATCACTATTACGCGCGTACATCTCGCGCAAATATTTTCTTATTTCGATCTTTTCGTCGACGGTCAGAATCCCGATGAAAACGGTCAAGTTCCGGTCAACTCCCGGAGGAGGTTTAATGTAAGCATCATTTACATTGATCGGCAATGGTGATATTATTGACGCGTGTGTGGCACAATTTTCGGGTCTAAAAGACGGTATGGGGAAATGTATAAGGTAGACGTTTATGATAAAGGCGACAAAGAGAAAGGATAAAAGCACTTTGGAATAGGCCGAACAATTTCTGTAGGATTTAGAGATCATAACTTTTGCTTTTATTTTCTAAACCTGCCGTAATCAGGATGATGTACAGTGTTCAAAAAAAAATTGGAATTTATTTTTTTTTACTGCCACATGGAAACACGTGAAACTTCGAATATTTAAAGACTGATATTTTCAATTAAAAAAAATTTAATAAGTTTCAAGATCCTATTACTTTCTATAATCAGCTCACAATATCTCGTTATCGACTAAATCAATCCAATTAGAACAGATTTTTTTA